TCCAAGGTGTTTCTTCAGCTCTTGGAATGCTCTTTGACACTCCTCTGTCCACTTGAAACCTTTCTTCCCCTTCAGGGTCTCAAAAAATAGTAAACACTTGTCCATGGCTTGGGAAACGAACCTGCTGAGCATGGCCACACGTCCAGTCAGACTCTATACATGTTTAATACCAATCGGGCTTTTCATGTCGAGCTTGCTCTGAAAGCACATTTCAATGGATTGAGCTTCATTTGATACTATATGAAGATGTCGAACATTTCCCCTAGGTGCTCAATACGACTTTCAGCGACCTTTGATTTGACGAGAATGTCGTTAATGTATACTTCTATGGAATGACCGATTTAATTAGCGAACATCTTGTTCACCAAGCACTGGTAGGTCGCGCCAACGTCCTTGAGGCCAAACGGCATAACCCTGTAACAATAAATTTCACGATCAGTAATGAAAGAAGTATGCTTTTCGTCGGGCTTGTACATCAGGATCTAGTTATATCCTGAATATGCGTCCATAAAGATAAGTAGTGTGTTTCCCGCCGTCGCATCTATAAGCTAGTTGATCTGTGGTAGCGAAAAGCTATCTTTCGGATAGGCTTTGTTTGGATCATAAAGTCGATGCAAGTCCACCATTTACCATTCGGCTTAGACTAGGTTGGCGAGCCAGTCTAGGTAACTAACTTCCCTGATGAAGTTGATTTCTAGAAGCTTGTCGGCTTCATCTTTGAGCGCTTGAGAGCACTCTGCATCCATGACCCTTCTTTTCTGTCTTATAGGCCAAACCTCTAGGTCGAGGTTTAACCTATGGCATATCACCTCAGGGATGGTCCCGCCCATATCAGCATGAACCTATGCAAATACGTCAAGGTTCTTCTTTAGGAACTCGACCAAATTATCAACCATCACTCTGCTCAAGCTGCTACCGATCTTTAGTAAGCAAGTTGGATCCTCCTCGCTAACACTTACTCCTATTAGCTCCTCGGTTGGTCCCGTAGCGAACTCCTCTTTGTTGCTGCGAAGATCTATGGTGTCTTCTAACGGTCCGGGATTTGGCTTGGATTTTGTGATGATCATGGTCTTTGGGTGTGGCCATTTCTGTGCGGCGTTTATGGCTCAATTATAACATTCCCGTGATTCTTTGGTGCAACTCTTAATTGTTGCGACTCCCCCGGGAGTTGAAAATCTCATTGCTTGGTAGCACACTCACGTGACCGCCCTTAAATCATCCAGGATTGGCTTTCCAAGGATGACGTTATACGTGGTCGAGCAGTCCAACACCAAGAATTCGGCCATCATAGTTTTGACCTTCGGTTCGGCCCCCAGAGTTACAGGAAGGTCGATAGTACCTTTGGGAACCAGGCTGTCCTTGGTAAACCGATAGAGTGGCGAAGGGCACGCTCGTAGATTCCTTTATGTGAATCCCATTCCTTGGAAGGGTCCCAAGAAAATAATGTTTGTCGCGTTCTCGTTGTCGACCATAACCCTTAATACTCTTACGTTGCCAATCTTGGCTGCGATTACAATCGTATAATGATTATGACGAGGGGATGTTTCGCACTCATCAATTGTGAAACCCACTACCTTGCTTTCCTGTTTGGGCTGCTTGGGCAACTTTTGTTTGTAACTCATTATTTGGGGGACCGAGTTCATTCTGGCCTCTTGAGCGTATTGCTCGCAGGCCCGCTTTGAGCTTCCTGCGATATTCAGTCCTCCGTAGATTATATTCACGAAGATCTCGTTACTTTGCTCGCTAGGATTCTCTCAAGCTGGTTCTGCCTTAACAAATTCTTTCAAATAACCTCTTCTTATCAGGTCCTTGATGGCATCCTTCAGAGCCCGACAGTCATTTATATTGTGCCCGACATCCCTATGATACCAACAATATTTTTGTTGATCTCTTCTTCTTGGAGCCCCCCTTATTTTTTCTGGAGCGGGTAGCCTCTTTGCCTCTTGGGTTATCTCATAAATGCGGACGATGTCTTGAGTAAGAGGGTTGTACTCTATATACCGCGGGAAACGTTGCCTGTCTCCGCGGTTATCTACTCTCTACTTCTTTGGGAATCTATTGCGATCCCTGTCACTGCGATCTTGGCCCCCATGCTTATCTGAAGGGTGATCTTGTCTCTTATCCGGGGCCCCCCGTGTCGAGCTCTTGGCTAGTGCTGCTAACAAGCTCTTTACTCGTTGGTATTTTGTGGCTATCTGGTAGAATTTGGCTAAGCTCACATGGTCTTCGCTTTGGAGCTCTTTCCATAGCTCCGTGTTAGGTCTGATCCCTGAGGTTTGATCCCTGCGATCAGGAGAGTCTGAATGGATTCTTCGGGGGCATCAACGACTTTTGCCTACTCGTTTTGGAACCTCGTTAAATACGAGGTTAGCAATTCATCTCGTTCTTGGTGAATGTTGCTTAAGTAGCTAAGTGACACTACGAACTGTCTCCTTGCCTGAAACTGTTGTAGATATAGCGTGGAGAATTGTTGCCAAGAGTTTATGGAGTTCGCCTTGAGCTGTTTGTACCACCTTTTGGCATCTCCGACTAATGTGACTGCGAAGCACTAGCATTTCGCTAAGTCACTGACCTGGTGTAGCTCTATCAGGTCATTAAAGTTGTCGAGGTGATCTCTAGGGTCTCCCCTCCAGTTGAACTTGCTTTTTGGTGTCCTGAATCCATGTGGGAGCGGGGCCTGACGAACTTCCTCCATAAAGGGGGCACTTACTATTTCTTCCGCCAGGTTATTATGGCGAACTTTTAGATCGTCGAGCATCCTTTGCATGCGATACATGTCTTCATTTTGGTTTCCCTAGTTGGCTTTGTTAAGTTGTACCTCGAGCAAGTGGGTTCGCAAGTCTGTCGCTTGCGAAGCTCCTTCGATGCCTGCATTGATACACGAGGCCGAGTCATGATAGTTGGGTTGGTAGGTGCTATCATGCTCTTCGGTGCGTTGCTCGTGACGTCGGTCATAACTTAAACATCAGTCATTGACAGATTGACGCACATGGCTCACTTCGCGAGCTTGTGAAGATCGATCTTGTTTTGGATGTGGGTTAAAACCGGCACGCTAATGTTGGGGATACCGTCGAGCTTCTCAGTGGTGTTCGTCGCCTTCGCTTTCCCTCAACGGCTGCTTCCCCGGCCGCCTCCCGTGGTTTGTTTGCCCGTAGGACTCTTGCTCATGAGTGAGGAGTTGCCCGTGAGGTTGGTAGTGTTGATCACCCCCTGGCGGCGACGAAACGGACTGTTGACCTGTAGAATTCATACTTGTTGGGGTAACGTTGGTAAAACGCGGCTAGTCGGGGTTCTGGGAGACTGGTTGTTGGTTCCTCAGCTCAGCCACGTTCTGTTGCACCGCCTATGCAACCATTGTTCTAATCATCTCTATCAGCTAGCCGTTCTCAGGATTTGATGTCCCTACCCCTTGATTGTTTGCGGCGTGCTGAGCCAGTGGCACCGGTGGTCAATGTCCAACATTCTCCTGTTGCACCTCTTGGTGGGCGGTTTTCATGTTCTCGTTTCTTGATCTGGTGAACACATTTTGGTCCTAGGACAGGTAAATCACGGTGAACGTTTGCCGGGATCTTTGAAATATTGGCGGAGGCATTCCTTCTACCGCCAAAATGTTGATACAGAAATCTGCACCAACCAGCAAGATCCGATCGACCTTGTTAGGATCAGAACTGATGTGGGTGTGATTACGGGTAATCAGCGATGAGTGAATGGTAACGCCAGAAAATAAATGACAAAGAGAACTTTTAAAGTGGTTCGGCGAAGATAACAGCCTACATCCATTGTTTTTTTTGTATATGTTGTGAGAGCTTACAATGTAATTTTAATCTAGAATTCGTATCCCCATTCTCATCGTTTTAGGGGGTTTATATACAAGATTTACATAAAGGAAAGAGCGAAATTAAGAGGATTACAAATGATTTGAATCACAATTCTGATATCCTTGCGATTGAACACTATGATCGCGCAATGATAACTGTTGATCCTGTCATTTTTGCGATATCCGATATCTGAAATAATCTAGGGATTGATTGATTAATTCCTGGGATTGTCCGCGACTAGCTTGTGCTGAGTTGATCAATCATAGTTGCCGAGATCATTCTAGGCCGAACTATATCCTCGCATTAGTCCGAGCTTGACGGAAAAATCACACACAACAAACTCTAACGATGATACTAGATATATAAATTGATGTGACACAAAATGAATTGTGTCACATCATACTTAATATGTACATGTAATACCACTCTAACCCAAATTATTATCCTTCAATTTAAATTTATGATCGGTTTAAGTGAATGAAGTATAATCTTGAAATGTAGTGAGTTGACAACAAAAGAACTAAACTGTGGTTGAAAATAAATTATTTTTTCATAAAATATGAAAAATCTTTTCCTTCAAGCAAGAAAGAGGAGGGGCTTCACTGCTTGGTCTCCAAGAAAATGTTAAAGAACAAAGTCTTCTCTTTTAACCTTTCATTTTAAAATAGCCCTTATATTTGACTCACCTGAATTATTTACTAAATTCAAATAAAAAAAATCACTTTCTAACTTGGTTTTAGCTATCTAATATTGAACTGCTAATAATGGTTTTACTTGTTTTGCACACAACGTACTCAACGGCGTTCAATTATTCTCATAAAATAAGTTTATTATTATTATTATTATTGTTATATGTTTTTCTTTTTAAACTTGAATGAATGAATCAGGTTATTTGAATCCACATATAGAATTTTAAATTTATTATTTAACACGATTCAGTTATCTAATTCCTGATAAACACAAATGCGATCATGTCTTAAGTCTAAATTATATACAGTTATACATTTGAAAAAAAATTAACCATTATATTGTATTGAAGGAATTTCAAATTTGGTAATTAATTGGGGTCATTGATCAAAATATGGGTAAGGTTACTGGTACATTAAAACAATAATCCAATAAGATAATTGACATTAAAAAAATAAAATAAAAAAGAAACCGTATAAAACAGCAACGTTACCGCTCCTGCTATAAATAGAACACTACTCAAAATCTAATCAGCCACAGCAACCAATCCAACCTTGAGAAACCTGAAATTGATTTCATTGACAAACGCACAGAAATGAGTTTTCTTGCAGGAGGAAGATTAGCGGGAAAAGAGGGAGCATTTTTTTTCCAGGAATCCAAACAAGCTGTAAACAAAATTGTAGAGAAAACCACCACCAACACCAAGAATGTGGCTTCACCAGCTTCTTCTTCACCGTCATTGGGTGAGCGGGAATTCAAAGCTGATGTGCTTCCCGAGGTGTTAAGACACTGTCTGCCATCCAAGATTTTCGGTCGACCGTCTGATCCATCATCTCTCTCCACAGGTTCCAAGTGGGTTCTACCCATTGACCCAAATGCCTCCTCTGTCTCACCTGATGCTTTGAATCCTCTCAGGGCTTACCTTTCTTTGCCCCAGGTCACCTTTGGCCCCAAAAGGTTCAATTTTGCCTATCATATCATGTTAAACTTGTTCTTTTACAATATCGTTGTGCTTTTGGTTATTATTACGAAGATTTATGTTATCTTAGAAGTACTTTTTATTTTAAAAGCATATTTTACATAAATATAGAGTATCTCTATTTTTATTCAAATCTAATATAAATAAGAGACAGACTTTAATATGAGAGAAAATTAATAATAAAATATATAAAAATTTGTAATTTATTAAATAAAATTGAGATAGAGAATGAAATTTAAGTCTTTAAGTATAGAGAGTCAAACTTACTTTTTAATTTATATTTAAAGAATAAACAATCTATTGAGTTTTTGTTTTGATAGGCAAACTCTTTGGATTATATAAAGAGTCTTTTGTAAATGTTTTTAGTGTTTCTGTTCGTTAATTCAGGTGGGAATTGCCCAGTCAAGAGCACTCATTTTTGGCTTCAACAGCTAATGAATTAAGGCGGGACAGATATACACCTCATGTAAACCCTGAGAAGTTAAAGGCCGCGGCTGAAGGACTTCATCAAAGTAGGATTTGTAATCTCTATCTTGCTTAGCAAAATTACCTCTTCAATATGACAATCTTTTTATAATGTACCATGAGTCAGTTAACTTTGTAGAGTAGCTCTTTGTTGTACAATTGAAAAGTATGTACGAATTCTGACTAAATGATTTATGAATTTACACCGAAACTAAGTAAGATAGGCTTGATTCTGTAACGGGGTTTATGTTTTAAACCAATATCTAATTATCTGTGTGTAGCTGTCAAATCACAACAAATAGAAAGAGGTTTTATGCAAAATTATAAATTATGAGGCATATGACATTGAGAATTGAGGAAAATTAAGAATTTAAGCTGGTGTAAAGTGAACTTAGGTTGTGAGGACCTTAGTGTTTGGCAATAACATTTGGTGACTAATGTGAAGCCACTTTCTTGTTCAGTTAGTAATTGATTTGGGAACCTATCAGTAAAAGTTGAATGACTTAAGTTTTGTATGTCTGTGGTGCATTTCCCTTGCGACTATACTTCTTGGTGTGGTTAACTTTAATATCATCTTATCAGGGAGTAAATCTAGCTTTAATTTTCTTTAAATCAGTCGAAGTTTTCCATAAGTAAAGCTTCCTGATGCTCTGTGTTTATGTCTTTATGTAGTTGGCAAGGCCTTTGCAGTTGCAACTGTGATTATATTTGGAGGGGCTACTGCTATTTTTGGGATGGCAGCATCCAAGCTTGATGCACACAATGTAAGTACAGTTCTTTTTTTCCATAATCTTGAAATTTTGACCCAAGGCTGTAGTAATTATTTCATGCTTTCCGTAAAGTTAAAAACCTGCTACTATTTCCTCTTCATCCTATGTTTATTCAACCTACCTACCGTAGACTGCAAGACAGTAACTAGCTTCAAGGTGTTATGCCTTTACCTGGACCAAAAATGGTTTTGAATTCCCCCAATATGACCATGTGAAAACCAAAAGTATCTATGTCTTTAGAGAAGCATTGATTTGAGATCCGTAAAATTCAAATGAAAGTGATAGGTTAGGTTTGTGTGTGGTGAGATGGCATATACTTTGAAGATGCAGCCTCAAACCCAGAATTGCCAACCTCCATCCATATCACGTTAGCAACTCTAAATGCTTTTGTTGCCACAGGCGTTAGCTTCAGAGTCTTCATCTGCATTCCCTTCGCATCAGTAATAATCAAATCTGAGGTATCAGCCTTGCCAATGTGACATATCCTGTTTCTCCCAACACAACAAACAACTATTCTTTTCCTCAAAGCTGAAGCTTAGAAGGAAGAATATGAATAGTTATACATATATGATTAGGATATAGAAACATTCATAGCTGAATCAAGGAATGGGTAGGAATCAGTTCCTGGGAAGGAAGTAAATTCATTCAATTCTGAATGGGTAAGAAATAAGAACACAAGCCTTGCCATTGTTTGGCTACAGTCAGTCACTTAGACCATTTCTATCGATGTGAAAGTGTAAGTGAAAGTGAAAGTGAAACTGCTTTTCTTTTGATGTTGATATATTTGTTTCATTCTTCTAGAGGATATGTTTGTCTCAGTTTCATAGATTTCTGATGGTAGGTGATGAGTTTACATGAATTGATCTCTCTTTTTTTCAGACTGATGAACTCCGTACGAAAGCAAGAGACTTGGTTCAGCCAAAATTTGACATAATTAGGGAGCAACTGACTCCCATAAAAACTTGGGTATGTGAATTGCAAAATTTCTTTACATAAATGATATACTTTTTTTGCTGATTGTTAGTTGCTTGTGCTAACTCAAAGCTTTTGACCACAGGCAGAAAACACACAAAAGAAATGGCATTTGGAAAACCAGGAAGATTTTAAGGAGAAGCCTATTATAAAGGAGCTTTCTAGAATTTTGGGTGCAAAAAACACTTAGTTGATTCATGATTTGTATTGTCATGGAATTTTTCTGTTTTCTTGTACTTAAATAGGGTAAAGAAAATAAGCAATTGCGCTGGTGACTGGCTGGAAATTCTGATATGGAAAGGGTAGGGGGGAGTTCGTATAATCCAAATGTTCAATGTGGTGTAAATATTTAGCAAACAAATGTTGTGTGAGTAGCCTATTTGTTTTGACTTTGGGACGCTAGTCTACATTATGTATGTTATAATATGAAACTTTTCTTTGGGTTTTTACTTTAAAATTAATGAAGTTCAGTTGAGAATAATCTGAGTTATGACATCCAGTTCTCGCTAAATAATGAGGTCCTTAAGGTTACAAAGTTTTCTGATTAACGCGAACCGCCGCATTATCAGATTTTAACTAACTGGGTCTTTCAACGTTATTACCAGGTGCTCTTGATATTGACTAATCATGCTCAACCTCAAGCTTGTTTAAAGGTTTGAGCAGCCATTTTGTGCTTGGTTGATCATATGCACTTTGCTTATTATGCATTTGCATCCATTTCGATAGCGTAGACAATACAGACTTCTCACTTCTCACCAAAGTTCAAATGCTCCCTCCACAAGTTTATCAGTTATCCAAGTCTTTTTCCCGCCAAATCCACTTGTTTAGCTCTTCTCTTAACACAACAATAACCAAAAAATCATGTATCTTTCTTCTCAAAAACTGCAAATCTATGACCCATCTCAAACAAATACAGGCACAAATCTTTCAAGTGGGGCTCCACCAAAACACAGACACACTCAACAAGCTCATGGTCTTTTGCACGGACCCATCTCTTGGGAACTTACTCTACGCAGAGAAGATCTTCAATTGTATTGAATGTCCAAGTTTGTTTATATACAATCTCCTGATTAGAGCTTTTGCAAAGAAGGGTAGTTATAGAAAATCTCTTTTGCTATTTTATAATCTAAGAGAACATGGGTTTTCGCCAGATAATTTTACGTACCCATTTGTTCTTAAGGTGATTGGGTACTTACGAGAGCTTAAGGAAGGTGAAAAGGTTCACGGGTATGTGGTAAAAACTGGTCTTGAATTTGATACCTATGTCTGCAACTCGCTCATGGACATGTACGCTTTATTGTATAAAATTGATAATTTGAAGAAGTTGTTTGATGAAATGCCTGAGAAAGATTTGGTTTCTTGGAATGTGTCCATATCGGGGCACATTAAGTGTAGGGCATTTGAGGATGCTGTTAATGTTTTTCGGCGGATGCAGCAAGAGAGTAATTTGAGGCCTGATGAGGCTACGGTTGTAAGCACTCTGTCAGCTTGTACAGCATTGAAAAATTTGGAACTTGGCAATGAAATCCATTGTTATATCAGTGAGAAGCTTGAATTCACTAATATAATAGGAAATGTTTTATTAGACATGTATTGTAAGTGTGGTTGTTTGAGTATAGCGAGGAAAATATTTGATGACATGGCAAGCAAGAATGTGATTTGTTGGACTAGTATGGTGTCTGGGTATGTGAATTGTGGGCAGCTAGATGAAGCTAGAGAGTTGTTTGACAGAAGTCCAGTTAGGGATATTGTTCTTTGGACAGCTATGATCAATGGGTATGTGCAATTTAACCGGTTTGACAAAGCAGTGGCATTATTTCAAGAAATGCAAGTAAGAGGGTTTAAGCCAGATAATTTCATACTGGTTACTCTCCTCACAGGTTGTGCTCAGGTGGGAGCTCTAGAGCAAGGAAGATGGATTCATGGATACATTGATGAAAAAAGAATTACAGTGGATGCAGTTGTTGGTACTGCACTTATTGAAATGTATGCAAAATGTGGATGTACACAGAAGGCTTTGGAGATATTCTGTAAGCTAAGGCAAAAGGATACAGCCGCTTGGACTTCAGTTATATGTGGCCTTGCCATGAATGGGGAGACAAACAAGGCATTGGAGTTGTTTTCAGCAATGAAACAAGTTGGGGCTAAACCTGATGATATAACCTTTATTGGTGTTTTAAGTGCTTGCAGCCATGGAGGATTGGTCGAGGAAGGGCGCAAGTTCTTTGGTGCAATGACAGAGATATATCAGATTAAGCCAAAGCTAGAACATTATGGGTGTCTCATTGACCTGCTTGGTCGAGCTGGACTGTTAGATGAAGCTGAGGAGTTGATAAAAAAGATACCAGATGAAAACAATAAGATCATAGTTCCACTTTATGGTTCTTTGCTTAGCGCCTGCAGAATCTATGGCAATGTTGAGATGGGTGAGCGGCTGGCTGGATTGCTAGAGAAAATTGAATCAAGTGATTCCACTGTTCATACACTGCTTGCCAATTTATATGCCACTGCTGCCAGATGGGAAGATGTAAAAAAGGTGAGAAGGAAAATGAAGGATCTTGGTGTCAGAAAGGTTCCTGGGTGTAGTTCAATTGAGATTAATGGCATTGTCTATGAGTTTGTTGTTGGAGATCGGTCTCATATGGAAATGAGGGAAATATACTCCATGTTGGACAGAATGACTAAGACATTGTTAGGTTCAGAAGAACATGAAAGGGAAGGAGACGACCTAGTTGCCATATAACTTTTATGAACAAAATTACCTTTACGGTGCTTTCACTTGCAAGGTAAAAGATTTTTTGGTTCTGTTGCAGCTATATTTCTTGGTATGTTAACTTTATGGTCTCATCGGGTGACAATAGAAGTTTTGGCTGGCTAAATGATGAGGACATGACTGAGCAACCTGTTGTCGTAAAGCCGACATAAGATCCTCTTCACATTCCGACGGGCCCGATTACGAGGAGTCGAGCTAAAAAGATGCAACGTGCCTTGTTAAGCGTAATTGAAGAACTTGAAGTTAAGGAAGCAATGCATGAAGCCGAGTATGCCCCAAAGGGATCCAAAAAGATTGTTAACAAGATTGAAACCCAAGTCCAAGTTTGAGGAATTAAAGACCGATTCTTGTTAGCCTTAATTGGGTCCAAGTTGGCATCCAAGCCTTTGTTCATGGGGCATAATAATTGCTATTTTATGTGGGCTATTTTAAGATTTATTTTGGTGTAATGGGTTGAAGCTATTTATTTACTAAAGTTCAAGTATTTTATTATTTTTATTAGTTGGGTTCGAGTTAGTTATTAGGGTTACGATCTATTAATTGGTTGTTAGCCTTATTTTGGACTAATTAGTTAGTTATATATAGTTGTAGGCGGTTTTGGCCGCACGCTTTTGGGAAGTAATAATTAAATAATTTTTTTTTTTTTTAAGATTACATCTTGATCTCTAGAACTCATCAAGAACCACTAATTCTTGTGGCATTCTTTCATGAAACTTATCAATCTAAATCAAGATTGTAGCGTTTTAGATTATTTATGCCAGAAAATAGATTCGTTTTAAGTCGCGATTCTTCAAAGTCTGATTGTTCCTAGATCTTTACGTTCTTGATCGGCGGTTCTTCGCAAATCGAAGGAGTTCGTTTCACTAAACTTCCTCATGCTCTGTGTTTATGTATTTTGTAGAGGGGAAGGCATTTGCAGTGACAACTGTGATTGTGTTTGGAGGGGCCGCTCTGATATTTGGAATAACAACACAAAACTTGCCATTGTTTGGGTACAGTCAGTCACTTGACCATCTCCACCAGAGTGAAACTGCCTGTTGTATTTGTTTCATTCCTCTACAGGAGAGGTTTGTTTGCATTTCATAGACGTGAAAGTAGGTGATGAGTTTACATGAAGTGATCTTTCTTTTTTTCAGACAGATGAAAATCTGTCCTAAAGGAAGAGGCTTGGTTGAGCCAAAATTTGAGATAATCTGGGACCAACTGAATCCCTTAAAAACTAGGTGTGTGAAATTAAAATTTCTGATTATAGTTTCTCTACTCTTTTCCGGACTGTAATTTTGCTGATGCTCACTCATTCCTTTGGATCGCAGGCAGAAAACACAAAAGAAATGGCATTGAGAAAGAGAGGAAGATGTTAACGAGAAGCCTATTGTAAAGGAGATTTCTAGAATTTTGGTTGCCCAAAAACCTCTAGTTGATGTTCATGTATTTTTTTAAGGGTTATAAGAAAATAATCAATTGTGCTGATGACTCTTGCTGCAGATCCTGAAAAGGAGAGGATATCAGTTTGCGTAATTATTCCTAATGAAAAATGTTGAATGTTACGACGTTATGTGAGTGCCCCATTTGTTCTGAATGTGAGACACTAGCCTGAAGTATATATTTTACGATACGAAGCTTTTCTTGGGTTTTTTTATTTTAAAATTACGATCAGCTTTCTTGGTGGCCGAGAAAATCCAAGTCCATGAACGAACCAGGAAGTCCCGGAGAGAAGATGGGGAGTTACAATATATCTTCTACTATAGTTCCTTGGATATTGAATTGACATGAAAGCAGCAATATTTTTTTCTTTTTAAATTTTATGTCTTGGTATCGGCCAGATCATTCTGTTTCTAACCCGTGAAAAAGCAGGAGCCGCAGGCTCTTTATTACTACTGTAGAGTGCAGAAGGCATAAATCCTCGAGATGAAACCCTTAAGACATTTCATTCGGGGCGTGGGGTAGCCTTGGCAAAAGGTCTCATCATCCCACTCAGGGATTGCTTCATAAAATCAAAACCAAATAAATGTACAGAATCGTTTTTATAAAGAAATTCTAATAGAAAATTGTCTGTACACTGAAAGAATGGGCTGAACAGGCAATCGCCTTATGAGAATTAAAATATAAAGTTGTAAGAATCAAAATAAGTCAAGCTCTTTAGTTAACTGCTCATATCATTACTGAGTTGTGAATGATGCAGTATGGAATGAATGACAAGACTGCTGGTGGCAAGACTGCTGGAATTATGCATCCTGCATCAAGCAAATTACAGGATATCCAGGAGTAACTTCAGCAATCGGCTTTATTCAATTATTGTGTAATTATAGCTCTGATTACATTCCTAAATTGTTCTTTATTTTTTATTTTTATAAATTGAACACTTTGTAATACAAAATATACAAGACAATAGACAGATTCAGTTGAGTCTTCTTCTTCTATTCTGGCACTCTTCAGCAACACAGTTTGCTTCTTTTGCCTTTCTTGCTTATATTCTAACATGGTATCAGAGCAAGCTTATTAATCTCGCTTACGCCCAACAAATCCTCTCTAGCCAGTTTTCCAGATTCTGTGAAATAAGGCACTTGGATTCTTTTCACCTAGCAATTCTATTCTAGCCAAGTTACCAGAACCTGCAAACAAAACACATCGAGTTAGCTACGTTTTTCCAATTTCCAGAACCTCCAAAATCACCACAACTTTGCCAACATTAAACCAATCCAAACAACAAAACCAAGATCAGAATTCTAGATCGGGTCCAAATTCTGGTCAAGCCCAACATGGCCCAAACCCACAAACCCAATATGGGCCAAGCCCATTCGGGTTCATGGGTCGGGCACCAACCCGACAGGTCAAAATCCCGACCCAGTATTCCAAATTGTTCCAAACAACTCCAATTGGCCAGAACCTGGTAACCCTCTCTACTCACCGGCGTCTGATGAATCTGAACTGGTGCTTGTAAAGTAAACACTTGCCGGATCTAAAAATTATGGAACATGGGCATGTGACTTCCGGTGGTCATTGATCATAAAGGACAAAGAAAGGTTCATCTATGGAACCTTTCCTTAATCGATTGAACCATATCTCCTCAAGCACTGGATACGCTGTAACACCCTCGTCTAAGCATGGATTAGCAACTCCTTGACCCCAAGAGATTGCCATCGGACTACCACAGATAGAAAATGCCCAAGAAATGTGGGCAAACATAAAATAGATGTACGGCCAGCTTGATCTGGCCAAGTTGTTCACTTTACGGCAATCTCTTGCCGAGATCAAGCATAACAACTTACCGGTGACATCGTCACGCTGTAACACCCTCGTCTAAGCATGGATTAGCAACTCCTTGACCCCAAGAGATTGCCATCGGAATACCACAGATAGAAAATGCCCAAGAAATGTGGGCAAACATAAAATAGATGTACGGCCAGCTTGATCTGGCCAAGTTGTTCACTTTACGGCAATCTCTTGCCGAGATCAAACATAACAACTTACCGGTGACATCGTACTTTAACCGCTTTTCGGTGGTATGGAATGAGTTGGATGCCATTGAAAAACCCCTTAAAGGGCCGACAACGATCATTCAACAAATAAAAAGGGTAAAGGATCAAAACCAATTGATCCATTTTTAAATGGGATTAAATAACAATTTTTTGCCTTTTAGAACTCAGATTCTGGCGACAACGCTGGCGTCGTCGCTCTGCCGCGCTTACCAGTTGTTTGTGCAAGATGAGAGCCAACGCATGAACTCACACGATGGCCTTCACACCAGCGACACCTCCGCATTCAACATCACACAAAAGGGGTTTAATGAAGGGGTGAAGAGTGAAAATGGTGGAGGCGCAAAAGGAGTTCATGAGTGGCTAGGGCTTCGTTTGGTTGCCAATTGGAAATACTACTTTTAGTATTCCCAAAAAAGTTAAACAGTAAAATACCCAAAAACTCACAATATTATTCAACTTTTTTTAAACCCCCTAAATTTGTTAATTTAATTAAATACCCCTAAATATTTTTTTAAAAATTGCAAAAACACCCCAATAATCCACATTTACTAGATTCCGGCCACTACTATCGGAAAATGGCCGGAATCTGGTAGGATGGCGCACTACAGACTGAATCTGGCCAATAGTGCACCGATCTAGCCTTTTTCGGCCAGATCCACAATGGATCTGGCCGAAAAAAGCCAGATCTAAGGCCAAAGATCTGGCCGTTGACGGCCAGATCTTTGGCCGTAACCAGTCGGTAACGACGGCCAACAAACGGTCGTCATTGACCATCAATGACAATCATTTTTTGGCCGTCGTTGACGAGCAAATACGGCCAATGGCCAGATCTAGCCGTAGATATGGCCTTTGCGGGCCAGATCCACCGTGGATCTGGCCGGAAAAGGCCATATCGGTGCACGACCGGTAAGATCCAGCCGGTCATGTGCCGATACTGCGACTCCGGCCACCCTCCTGCGGTGGTGGCCAGCTATCCATATTTGAGGGTGGGTTGGGGGTGTTTTTGTTAACTTTTAATGTTTTATTATAGGGAGTATTTTGTAAAAAAACAAACATAGGGGGTATTTTATTAATTTGTAAATCCTACATCGTAGTACCCGCCCAATTCAATTTTTTTTTAACTTTTTTCAAAAAACTTTTCCCAAAAACACAAAATTGTGAACCAAACGGAGAGGTTTTCCAAAAAATGAGAGAATGGTTTTATATGGGGCCAAATTTGTTCTGAACGGCCTAGAGTCATTTGTGCAATCCAATGACTGCAACAGATCCAAGCCCAACTCCTTTCTTAATACCTCACATGGGCTGAGTTCATCCACATCAAATGGGCCAACTTATTTCACTTCTAAGGGCCTATATCAAAACAATGGGTCTAATAGCTCAAGGTCCAATAAATCTGGAAAAAGTGCACGCTATTGTGATTATTGTAAAAGGAAAAATCACAATCGTGAAACTTGTTGGAAGCTGCATGGACGTCCACCAAATTAGAAAACTGGATCTACAATAAATCAAGCAGACACAAATACTTCTTTGGGGACCGGGAATTTAGCACCCACGATCAGTCCTGAGCAATACCAACAGTTACTCAAGATGATCAATCAGCTTCCCCAGGATTATATGACATTGGACATCCTATGCAAGTACATCTTGTTGTTTAAATTTCATTAAAGATGATATCTGGATAATTGACTTAGGAGTTAGTGACCACATCATTTGCAATCCCAAGTATTTTACCCATGCACCCACAAAATCATCTACATATGTCCATATGCCCAATGGAACAATGGTTCCCACCACCCAAATAGAAATTGTTCAACTTACCAAAACTTTAGTCCTCCATAATGTTTTATTTGTTCTAGCCCTTTAGGTTTAACCTTATTTTAGTTTCCAAAATCTGTTATGATAACAGTTGTTGTTTAAAATTCTTCCCTAACATGTGAATTTCATGACCCTTTGACTGGGAAACTAATGAGCTCGGGTAAGGTTCATAATGGTCTTTACCCTTGTATCACTGATTTTGTGGGAAAATCTCCAAATTTTCTGTCTTGTATTGTAAATAATAAATTTTCTGATCGTAATACAAATCTCAATAAAAGTTTCTTAATTTTACACCAAAGACTAGGTCATTGTGCTTTTGTTCCACAACCTCATTGTCCAGTTTGTTCTCTTGCCAAGCAATCTTGAACCACTTTTCCACATAACACATCACACACTACTCACCTTTTTTCCCTAGTTCATATTAATATTTGGAGACCCTATCACACTCCTAACCATGATGGCTTCTGTTTCTTCCTTACCATAGTTGACAATTTTTCTCGAGGTATATGGGTTTATCTCTTGAATTCAAAAACTCAAACACTTACCAAAATCAGGGCGTATATCTCTATGGTCAAAACACAATTCAATGTATCCGTTCAACATATTCGAACAGATAATACCTGTGATTTCTTTAATCACCACTACTCCTCATAT